CCTTTGTGAAATGTTCTCACATTCCTAGTTGGATTGATCATTTGGGGACACTGGATGGGAAGCCATCTGCTTGCAAGCCTCCATGCTACTAGATGGCATTTCCGAGAGGGTTGACGGAGAAAAGGCTGCACATGTCTAGTATGCTGAGGTTCAATGAAGAAAAGTCAAGAGCCAACTGAGCCGCCATTGGTTCCAGCCAGTGGAGGAGATCCCCAGCTGAACTTAGGTCAGTAGAGAGGGACCTATATGGGTTGGGGAAGGCTGAGGAGACAGTAGTTTTAGTTCTTTAGCCTCCTCCAAAAAAGCGTAACCACTTTTCTTCTTCGTACTCACCTTGCATCAGTAACCTCTGTAGGACCCATTCCAATAATTATACGAGAAAAGATGCTGGCATGTAGACACCTCCAAGCACATGCTTTTTATGGGAGAACCCAAAGGATGGTTTTCTAATCTGTCCAATCACTATATATCTATAGCTGATAGGTGGTAGTATCTATGCGTGCTATAGAGATATTGGATCATTGACAACCCATAAGACGCGACACAAACGCTTGCAAACAGCAACCGAATTTAAAGTAGCACTGTCATCATAATACTTACCAACAGCGAGTCCAGTGAATCCAATCTATGCTCTCTTGCAGAGTTATACCTACCGCTGCTGCAGTGCAAGGAGCATCCCAATAGGGGAAGGAATCAGAGTGCCAGAGAAACGGGATCATCAATGTGCCATTAATTAATGGGCCATTAATCCTTTCATTGTCCAGTCACAGGGTAGGGGTGGAGGGCTTTAAGTCAAGTTGAAGCAGGTTCCCTCCACTGCCAGGCAGGACTGTGCTGGGTAGCAGGTCTGCGTAACTCTCGAGAGTGGAGGGACAGAATACATATCCTTTGGCAGGGAAAACAGCCCCCATATATGTATTTTATGTTTGTATTCATTGTTTTCCTGGAGTCCAGATATAAGGAGGAATGACTTTATTCTCAAGGTAGGCTTCTTCTCAGTCTAATCATTTATATACCCCAATGTGGGTGTTACTATGTAGGAGCTACATTGTGCAAGGGCAAGCTGATGCTGGCCTGTGGCCCTTTCCTGTATGTGTAGCTGTATGCAAATCAGACATCTGTTTTTTGTTTTTAATATTAAGACAAATTATAATTTGGTTTCCTGAGAAGGATAATATCTGGAGGGTAGGTATAAAGTCTCAGCTGTATGCTAATGAGGCCAACACAGGGAACTGACTTCATGATGCTCTTGGGGTAATGGAAGTGAATACACTCAGTTGGGAAGATAAAGTGGATCCTGGTGGAAGGGGTGGAATTTGAGGGCCCCGTAGAACCAAGAGCTTCTATAATGCATAGGGGCTGAGAATGAGGAAGCTTATCACATTGTTCTATAGCAGTGGTAGGCAACATATGATGAATGTGGGCCCCAACTTCAGCCCCTGACATTAACTAGGGGCTGCACATACTATTCAGAGTAAGTACTGCAACATAAGACTGTCATAGAGTGCAGACAAACTACATGAGAAGGTCACAGACTTTAGACACAGAGACTAGGGATATATTATATGGGACTGCCAGAGATCACTGCTACTATAATCCCTTTACATATCCATTCTCCCACTCTCATTACTGAATGTCAGTGCCAGAAGGCCACAGAACAAGTGCCCGAGGTCACAGGTTGGGTATTGGGGATTCTTCACAGAGAAAACATCAAGGATCAAAGTCCACCATCATCTCCAGATTCTGGCAGTGATGTGACTTATTTGACGATCAGTAGATACACTCCATCACCTAAAGTATGCGGACATCCCTCCAAATTATTGAGCTCAGGTGTTTTTCCAGTGAAGGGTATGCAGCGTTAATGCTGCAGCATTCAAAGACATGATAGACAATTGTGCACTTCCAGTCTTGCAGCAAAAGTTTGGCGAAGGTACTTTTCGGTTACAGCATGACTGTGTCCCTGTGCACAATATTGGCTCCATGAAGACATAGTTTCATGGGTTTGGGTTGGAGGAACTTGAGTGACCTGAAAAGAACCCTACAACAGCAAAAAGGTTCCCAGCACACTCACCAGCCAGCATGCAAAAAAAAACCTGTCTAACTGCTAAGGTTAAAGGAGAACTATGGGGTTAAGGCTTTTCCCTATAGATCTCTTTAGGGTAACAGGAAGACACAAACTAGCGTCCTCCCGTCACCCTAGGCTCAGTATACCGCGAGCTGCTGCTCGCGGTATACTGAGGCGCCGCAGCTGAAGCGGATCCCGACAATTGTGCCGGGATCCACCCAGCTGCGTGACTGACAGCTGGCTCTGCCTATCTAGAGGCAGAGCCAGCTGTACCCGCCCCCTCCCCCGTCCGTTCCGCCAGTCAGCGCTGGAGGAGCGGGGAGGGGGGAATCCAGCCCCTCCCCTGTCACGGCGGAGAGCCGTGACAGGATCGAGAGGTGAGCGAACACCAGTATGTGTTCTCTCACCTCCCGATCTACTAAGCCGACCTGTGACAGTCTCATTGTCACAGGTCGGCTAGAACTATGAGGCTATGAGGTGAGTGAAAGGCACTCCCCTCATAGGTCTCCTTTAAAAACAGAGGTTTTAGATACACGTCTTCTGCAGAATATGTGAAAGCCACACAGCCTCGTCAAGGCACCTCCATATAGTGCGGTCCTAACTCTAACCTATGAGAGTCTCCATCTTGGAGCACATGTAGCAAAAGATAAAATTGGGTGCAGGTTTGCCAGGAGGCAGCCCAACCTCCTTAAAGGCACACGGACACACAAGGGACCCCGCACATCACAGCGGCAGCTGAGACCCCTTAGTTTATCACTGCACCAAATCAGTCAAGCAAAACAAATGGCAAACGCACTCATCAACTTGTAACCAGCTTTAAAGCAAGGTGCACATGGAAGGGCTGTTTGCTTTCTTTGCTGTTGTATTGTTTAAAGCCCTTCCATGTGCACCTTGCTTTAAAGCTGGTTACAAGTTGATGAACGCGTTTGCCATTTGTTTTGCTTGACTGTAAAGAACCTTGACCTCAACCCTACTGGACACCTTTGGTATAAACTGGTACACCAATTGTGAGCTGGATCTTCTCATCCAACATCAGTAACTGACCTTACAATTGCTCTCGGTGCTGCATGGGCACACATTCCCCCAGACACACTCCAAAATCATGTGGAAAATCTTCCCAGAAGAATGGAGGCTTGTATGGTCTCAATGGGGGATCAACTCCACATAAATGCCCATGGTTTTGGAATAGGATGTCCATAATGCTCATGCAGGTGTGATGGTCAGGTGCCATTACCTATTTGTGGCCACACTTAATATACTTTGTCACACTAAGGTCACATTGTTATTTTGTAACAAAATAAGAATGCATTACATCTATGTTGTAGTTTGCATTATTTCGCTGAAACTTTCCCTGAAGGTTTACAAGCTCTGAGGCTGCCTCGGTGTATGTAAGTCAGTCACTTTGGCTTGGCACCTCTTTAATTGCAGAGAACTTGGCAGGGCGGCTGGAAAGCGCTTACTTCTAATATAAAAGCATTAATATAAGCTGCAATAACACAGGAACCGCTTACAGCCACAATGCAAATCCCATTAATCTCCATGAACCTGCCGCAGTCACAGGGCTCCGTGAAACGGAAAGGCAGAACTTATTCTAGCTGAGCTGTTAGTTAAAAGAGATCTCCGCTTCCACCCTCATTACAACCTCCTGGGATGCACTAGAATCACATTATCATTAGGCATCTGTAATTATCCTCCTGCCTTTCTTATGGGGGATGTGACAGCCTCTGCCTTGCTTGAAATGTCCAGGAAAAAACATTAAAAGTCTCCTTTGCAATGTTCCTATAATACAGGGGTAGGCAAACTCCGGCAAACTACAAATCCAATCAGGCATCTGCCTCTGGGAGTCATGCTTTTGACTGTTAGAGTCTTGCAATGCCTAATGGGATTTGGCATTTGCCCCAGCTGGAGGGTCGGAGTTTGCCTACCTTGCTCTATCTATATATACTCATTATTATTATTACAGGTATTTACAAAGCGCTGACAATTTCTATGCACCACTTTACATAGTTACACATTCACACCAGTCCTTACCCTCAATGAGCTTAAAATCTAATGTCCCTATCTCACATACATACATACAGGGCCAACTCAGACAGGAGCCGATTAACCTACCAGCATGTCTTTGGACGTGTGACAGCTTCAGTTCCTCTGTCTGCTGGGAAACACTTACCTTTCCCCTCCAGGCAGCAGATATGTTCCACTTCAGCCAAGATCTTAGGCGATTCTGCCCGGGAAGAAAGCTCTGCCCCCTGGATGCACCTCTGAGGAAGGTACCAATAGTGCGGGGGGGGCCTGGCAAATTGTACTATACACAATATTCTATAAGAAAAAAATGGTAGCTTGGAGCCCGGGTCCCCCCGGCCACCTAGGGCCCTTACAACAGTACTGGCCGTCACCCCCTGATGGCGGCCCTGGGTGCTGCCTTCTGCATTCTGCAATGTCTATCAGTACTGCCATCTTCCAGGTTGAAAGATACCCAGCATTTTTCAACCCTTTTCTGAGAACTCAAGCTGTCATGGACACACCCCTGGGGGTGCATCATCACACTGGCCTAAGGTAACTGTACATGAGCAGTTAATGAGGCTCACCAAGTAGAGGAAGGACTTGTAAGGTCACTGGACAAGCAAGATAACAGTTTGTATTAAGGAATATACATTATTTAAGATTTTTTTTTTAATTGTGCGGGAGGGAAGGCATTCATTGGAGGATGTGGGAGGACTGGTGCCAGGGGATCAGTTTCTGTGGAAATAGATGTACTCTTTATATAAAGCAATGATGCTCCAGCAGTGATATCCCGGTGTTGCCTGTTGCAGTATTCAGGAAATGACTATTCTATTTACAGCATAACATTTGTACAATTGCACAATTTTCCTTTTTTTTCAAACCATTCAAATGCTGGGTAAAGGATGCAGCAAAGAAAATATATGAGGGATACCTTTAAATCCTCGAATTCCCATTGCCCCTGCTGGTCCTATGTCGCCCTGGTCACCTTTTTGTCCAGGCAGCCCTGGAAGACCTCTTTCACCTGGAAGACCTGGAAGAGAGAAGGATTGGTCAAGTACAAAACAACGTACCTTGAGTGATATGCAAAATATCAGAACGACAGAAAGATGGAAATATAGATTTGGGGAAGCCAAGGTTGTCAAAGTGATGCCCAGAAGATAGAAGAAAGCATAATGGACGATACATTCATTTTTTCATAACTTCTCTGTTTTATTGCTGACTTTGTACCCAATTCGGCAAACTTGCCCGCACCATAGTGCAGGGTTTGACGCAGGGCCGGATTTAGTCTCTCTGCTGCCCCAAGGCCAGGTTCCTCGATGCGCCCCCCTGTATGCAGGCAGCATACAAGTGAACTTGGCGACATCACTGAGATCACTTGTACAAAACAAGTGGTGGCTTCCCCGCTGTACGCTGTAGCTCTACTTGCCCAAGGCAGGGCTAAATGTACAAAACAACTACACACCTGGCACCCAGAACTGCATGTCCTGGGTGTTGGGAGATAGGGATCCCACACCCCTGCTGCCCCTCTACTCCCTGCTGCCCCGAGGTCAGGTCAGCCTTGTGGGAAATCCGGCCCTGGGTTGACGTCACCATCTGGTCGCCGAGATCCCGAGGAATGTTGAGTAGCCCAAATTTTGTGAGAAGACCTTGCAGTGCAGTGCTGGATCATCTTCTCGCGGGAGTTGGCCTACTCAATATGCCCGCAACTCCCGCCAAAAGGAGACGACGTCACTCTTAAGGTGCCCATACACCTTACGATTATCGGACGAAACTTTTCGTCCGATGATCGAATAGTCGTACGATTTTCGTACAGCAGCCCCATCCTGCCCAGATGATCACAAGATTAGTTTAGCCGTAATTAAGGAAAAGCACCTGGACGAATTGCGGTAATTGATTTGCCGTCTTTTCGTTAGCGCAGGGTAGATCGTACGACTTTTGACGGACGGAAACGCCAGCAACCTTGCGGAAATCGTTGAGATCTAGCAAAGTTTTCAAACATGCTTGACCGTCAAAAGTCGTACGATTGTACAGTACTGTCGGTTGGACACTGCAATGCACACATATGATTATCGGACGAAAAGTCGATCGCATACGAAAATCATACGATAATCGTAAGGTGTATGGGCATCTTTAAAGTGACAATAAACCCTCAGATTTTTTAACATAAACCAATACTGTAATGTGCGCCTTACTGTAATCCATGGTTGTTTCCCTTCTCTTTGCTGCTCTTCCTTTTAAATCTGTATCTGTTCTCATGCTGGGGGACAACTTCTGTTTTGCAGCTGAGTGCCTTGTCTCTGAAATGGATACATGGTGTCTGTGTGCAGGTTCACAACCTGAGCCAGCACTACAGGAAGAGGCACTCAGCTGCAAAGGGAAGTTCTCCCCAAGCATGAGAAGAGAGAGGAGTTAAAAGGAAGAGCAGCAAAGAAAAGGGAAACAACCATGGATTACAGTAAGGCGCACATTACAGTATTGGTTTATGTTAAAAAATCTGAGGGTTTAATGTCACTTTAAGTCGGAAACACGTAAGGAACTTGGTGAAAGGTAAGGCTGGCCATACACTGAACGTTCAAATGAAAACCTCTTGCCAGAACATTCAATAACGCCACCAGAGACTTAACAAACATTGTTCAAAATGTAATTTGATTTTAACATTCAGAAATGAATGGTGTTTCCCGGACCGATTTGACCCCATTAGCTATTAGAAATTTGATCAGACGTTCTGAAAACAAATTGGTTCAAAGCAAGTTCTACTGGTGTAGGACCAGCTGAGGCATATTATTTAAATGTTCCCCACCTTCCCCCAAAGGATTTTTTAGCAGTTTAATGCACAATTTTAGCAAGGGGGAAGGGGGCCCACACTAAATACGCCGACCTTGCTATTTTAGTACAATGGAATCCATATATGTTTGACTTTAGAGGTATGACAGCCCCACTGTGCATATTAAGGGTCGGGACACCAGATACGCACACACATGTTCTTGGTCATTGATTTGCTAAGCAGTGAATGAAGAATGAAGGTGACAGTCCAAGCCCTAAAACTTCAAAACCAAATCAGCAATGGCAACCCCCGTGTTTCTCTTCTGACCAATTCCCTTTAAGTACCTCTGACAGTTATCCCTTTAAGGCGCAGCGCAAGCAGCGGAGACGTTTTCAATTACTGCAACGCATTAAAAGGACAGCCAGCTACGTTTACTCAACTGCCGAAAAACGTCTCCTCGTATTTCCGCCTGCAGCCGGGGGCTGTTTTGAAACACACGCCTGCCATGGCAGCGGCTGTGGACATATTTACAATGTGTTAAATAAATAATCTTGGGAATACAGTCAATGTTTTAAAACTTTAGAGGGGTGGATGGGATCTGTGTATTGGCAGTGCGGGGGATGGAGCATTAAGGCTTTGGCTTCGGTCTGCCTCTGATTCAGAGCAGGAGGGAGCCCGGGAATTGTGGAAAGACGATCATACCGCTTGGTGGTCTTGGTCAGGTGCCAGCGGACAGGTGTTTGCAGAGTGAAAAGAGGCCTGGAGTAATCAGATTATGCAACAAAGCAGCGCAATGAACAACGCTGAGCATCAAAGGTTGGTTAGGGACCGCCAATTGGAAATTCCCCTGTACGCAAAGCGGACCTGTCCTCTGAAGATAGCAGTAGACGCTGCAGATCTCTGCTCTCAGAGAGGTGGAGTCAATGTGAACCCTGAATCTGGAGAATTTGGAGGCCAAGTCAACACCTCAAACCCGTTGTATTCCTCAAACACTATTTGGGCATACAATGCTGGAATTTCAGATGATTCCTCCTGATTCAGCTGTGGGTAGCCCTGTGGGTTTCACCCCAAGCACTTTTTTAAAAAGAGCCGGTCTGAAAATTCTCAGCTGAACAGTTACTGCATCCAACCCGATGTACCTGCTGTTCAGGTATTGCATTCGGGAATACAACAGCCAGCAGCGGGGATTCCTCCATCCATGCTGTTCAGGCTGAATGGTTAGCTTTACACCAGAGATCAAGAAGTACATAGGAGACCATCAATCAAACTGAATGACCCTTCTCTTCCATTTGCTTCTACACTCACCTAGACCAAACAGCTGGTACTTCAGACCCCTTCAGGAGACATCCTTAGACCTGAGACCCAGGGCGTACGGCACCCACTTAATGACTCCACTGGCATTCGCGCAAACACAAGTGCCAACTCCTTTTCCTTTTCTCTTATGCTTTATATATCTATTACATCTTAATTTCTTTTTAATGCACCTATTAACTTTTGTATGCCTTCTGCGACCTCACGCAGCCAGCTATACTTATTTCAGTACTTTTCCTTTGATTTATGGCTGTAGTGACTTTCAGAACTCTCGGGTTATTCTGTGTATTAATGGCCTGTTGTCCTGCACACATCAAGGAGTTACAAATTGCAACGCTATTAAGTGGCGCATCAATCATTATTACAAACGTGGGTTCATTAGCCTGTGCTAGGGGCCATTCTGCATAAACACAGGGTAAAAACATATCAATCAATCACAACTTATGCTAAAAACTATGTTAAAAAAAGAACTTTTAAAACTCCTTTCCTGAGTAGACATCTTGGGCCTCATTTTGCAAAAAAAAATCTTAAAGGAAATTTTAGAATTTGCAGTGCCTGAGTTATGGGTGTTTTACATTGTGTCTTTGTACTCACCGAGGGGGGCTGTTGGCAATGGCAATGTTCCCGCTAGGTGGGTAGGATGTTTTACAAAGGGTGGGGAAGGGTTAGGACCTTGATCAGGATTGTTTTGCTGTCTGAGTCTCCATTGGGAAGATTGCACTTACTTCCTGTCCCAATGACTGCTGCACAAAAGGTATGAAGAGGTGGGACAGAGCCTGACCATCTCAGCTATGGTCGTAGGTTGCATAATACATAAGTGAAAGCACTGTAAATTCTGGTGCCTGGCCAAGAGTCCATAGTCCACCAAAGGTTTACTTAAAGCCCATATCTGGGCAAGTGTGTGATAAAGAGGGCCCCCACCCTGTGCAGTACCCCGCCCCTTCCCACTCCATTTTTTTCTCTTTACCTATCTCTTTTCTGTCAATAGAAAACCATTGTGGAAGTTCAGATGATGTCAACTCCCTGAACTCTGATCCTCCTCTTTCAGCAGCACAGGGTGGCGAGGTCTGCAGGGAACCTTACCTGAAACAGGTACACCCTACACTCTACAGAGCTATACCATACACCATGCAGAGCTAGGGGGGTGTTGAGAAGACCAGTTCCTAATGCACAGCTAAGCATCTCAGGTGACTAGTCTCCTCAACAGGAATTGCTGTCACTACAGTAGTTAGTGGGCAGTATTTACTGATCAATTTTTTTTGGTTATGGCCAGACAGCAACTTAAATCCCCAGCTGATAAGTGAATTTGCGAAAGGAAAACCTCTTTTTTTCCCAACAGGAGCAAGCTAACAACAGGGAAGGATTGTTAAGGGAGGATGGAAACCTCTGAGGTGCACTGGGTGACCACTATTGGATGACTAGCAGGCAGATGAGAACAGCAATCACTGGAAAAGAACAGATTGTAAAGGAATCCTATCTACTGGTAATCTGCCCCCTACTTGCCCTCAAACGTCATTATGAGTTAGGCACTTGATCTTTTGACATTATGTTTCAAGTATCAACAGTTGTTCCTCACTCCTGTAAAGATGGTCTAGCTACACTAGGTCACAGTACCAGTGCAAACATTGGACCAGGACCACCCTCCTTAAAACACTTTTATTTATCCTCACAACTCCGCTTTATTGTCTGCAGTTTATAACACTATTATGCAGAATACATTAGATGGAAAAGTAGTAGAGGAGCAGTGCAGGGCTGTCTTCTCCTTGTGTCCTTTTCTTACGTTTGGTCATCAGATACACCACTGGACAATAAAGGGGAAGTGGCCAGAATTTGCATGGTGGAGGAAGTAGCGTCACACCTCTTCAAGGCCCTTTAACACCAAAAACGTATAGGCCATTTTTGTGCTCAATCATGAATCTGGGGAAGTGCCTGTATAGACCAGAGGCCTCACTTGTGCATATCAGATATTATCAGTCCTCTTGATGGATATAGATCTTCCTGTGAAGGGGATAATAATTGCCTTTGTGGGACCTCCCATCTCTGCAGGCACATGTGGGACCAGTTTGGGAAGTAGCATTCATATTACAGGCGTACAGATGGAAGGATTGAAAATGAAATGTCGGCACTGTGGATAATTAATGCAAAGGAACAAATCTTATTAGACCAATAAAATCTAAGGAGACAAGGTCATAATCACTCAGGATTTCCATTTCCAAAATGTGGGAATATATGTAAACTGATGGTGACAGCCAGTTTATATCTCAGCCCCATTTGAAATAAAACTATATTTAGAAGCCTCAAAGCACAATGATGGACCAGTGCCCATGTAAATTCTTCTTTCTAGGTTTCCAGCATTGCATAATTTGGGTTTTTTATTGTTAGAAGAATATTGATTTTTTTTCGGCCAAAAGCCATGGCGGGAAACTTCACCTGCAGCGCCACCTACCACATGTATTACTCTTCCAGCCAAACATATCAAGTGACTTATATGGGGCAAAGTGCCGGTATTAAAAGGAATTAATAAACTGCAAGCAGACAACATTCAACTTGTATTTCTGTGACTGCTTAGATTAGCTCACCTCCTTCTGATAACGTTAGTTGTGCTTGCGCTGCCTGTTACGCTGATCTTTATGATGGGGGTACCCTGTCAGTGCATGGGTGTTTTGCTAAGCCTGGGGAACTGGGGTAATGGAGTACAACTGCAGTGAGGGTGAGGAGTATCCAGTGTTAACAGAGCCGTAGCTAGCTCCTTTTGCGCCCGAGGCAAGAAAAAACGTGCCCCCCAACGGACGTGTGACGTCACACAGCGCCGTGCATGCGAGGCATTATGTAATGTCATGCGCCCCGCCTCCAGGATATGTTTTTTCATTTTTTTACATTTTCTATTTCTTTTGTATTATTTCCTTTTATTATTTTATTTATTTGCAATTTTTTTTTTTTTTTTTTTTTACTGTTGGTTGGGGCTTTGGGGAATTATTAGGGGTCTAAACAGACCCCTGATATTTCCCTTTTAATATAGAAAAAGAAATTGAGGACACAAAGTCTTCAATCTCTTTTTCTGCAGACTGTTCTAAATGAATGGAAAGTACAGCGGCTTTTCATTCATTCAGAAAATATTTACCATCAAGCAGATTCTGAATGGAGAGAAGCCTCTGTACAGAGTGAAACTCATTGAAAAAACTTCATTGAAACTTACGAATGAACAGGAAGTGATGTAAAGCACATCCTGTTCATTCATAACTGGGGACACATAGTACTATCTGCACCCATCTGCACCCGAGGCGAGAGGCTCAGTCGCCTAGGCCTCGGTATGGACCTGAGTGTTAATATCTAAGGGTAAATGGTATTGTAGGTTTGGGTTGTATGTTTGCATTGGTTTCTTTTATTCTCAATTAATACATTACTGTATATAAAGCAATTCAGACACAGATACTCATGTACACCAACCCCAAGGCTTGATAAAGGTGGTTATCCTAGTTAAACATGCTTCAAAAAAGATGAACTAGCCACTACAATATGTTTCGATTAGGGATGCACCAATACCAAGTACCATACTCGATACAAGTACTTGTAAAGATACTTTTCCAGCTCCAAGACTAGACTAGAGAAAAATTCAAAAGTTAGGAGGCAGCTGTCATGTGTAAGGGGCACACAGAACTCTTGGGATTTGTACATCTCTGTTTTAATGTATGATTTTGTTTTTATAAACATATATAAGAGATGCACCAATACTATTTTTGCAAGTACAAGTACTGATACATTTTTGTTTAGTGTCATGTGACAGTTTTTCTAAAACAATACAGACTAATGATTTCAGGACAGTGGTGGAGCGCCGGAGCCAGGTCCCAGCTGCAACCGCTGTAACCCTGGGAGTTCTCATGAAAATGCCGAGTATCGGCACTGGAATCTGAACTGGTATCGGTACATCCCTAGTTTTGATCATGGAACAACAAAAAAGTTGGATTTTGGATTATTGGAAATATATCATCTTAGTCCTTAAATCTTACCTCTTAATCCAGGCAGTCCAGGAACGCCGGGAACACCCTCCATTCCTTCATGACCTTGGTCTCCCTTTGGTCCAGGAGGACCTTGAAAAAGTGAAACAAAAAAGAGATGTCAACAAATGTAAATAGACCAGAGCCTTATATGAACAGAGGTTGTTACTGTTGTGTTCCTCATCAACGTTATCAGTCAGTTTATTCCCTCAGAGCATACTAGAGAACAATTCTGAGAAGAGCAGCCCAGACATTGCCTCTATGGACTTCAGCCTAGGAATGTTATAGTGTCTCCAGGCCAGCACGAAGATAAGTTCCCTCCACCATGTTTTGAATAGAAAATGGGTTGGGTTATGTAGTCCTGTCTTGCTTTGGTTGTCTTGATACAGGGGAGTATTGCCACAAGACATAATAGGTATTACTGGCAGAATCACCGAGTTAGAAAACAAATCTCATAAAAAAGAAAACTAATGCAGCCACCACATCTAAGGACTGGTAAAATACACTTTAACGTTCAATTTCGTTCATCCATAGTCAGCAGTGAGGTATCTTACTCAGAATGTTATAAATACATTGTGTAATTGTTCCCACTGGCTCTCCAAACATGCGGTGATTGAGACCTCTTGGCAGTAGGAGATGGGGAATACGATGAGACATTAATAGTATCTACAACACTTTTCATCGTAGGAAACAAACAACACGTCTCAGCGGCAGACAGGCCTTGTCACAATGTCAATACTTCAATGGTTTCCCTGGCAGAACATTTGTAACCGCAATATTCAATCATCCTATGGGAAGAACACAAAACAGATTTAGGCTATCTCAAGTTTTCTTCCCTTCGGAGACCTCTTGACAAAACATCATGACTCATGTAAACCTTATGCCCCAAATGTTTGCAAAAATTGAACGAGGGTCCTGATTCCTCTTTGTAGATCTATAATTATTACTAGAGGGGTCTCCAGCAGGAGGAAGGAGGTCCTGATTCCACTATATAGATCTTTATTATCACTAGAGGCATCTCCAGCAGGAGGAAGGAGGTCCTAATTCCACTATATAGATCTTTATTATCACTAGAGGGATCCCCAGCAGGAGGAAGGAGGTCCTAATTCCTCTATATAGATCTTTATTATCACTAGAGGGGTCCCCAGCAGGAGGAAGGAGGTCCTGGTTCCTCTATTTAGATCTTTAGCTATCACTAGAGGGATCCCCAGCAGGAGGAAGGAGGTCCTGATTCCTCTATATAGATCTATAATTATCACTAGAGGGATCTCCAGCAGGAGGAAGGAGGTCCTGATCCCTCTATATAGATCTTTAGTTATCACTAGAGGGATCTCCAGCAGGAGGAAGGAGGTCCTGATTCCCCTATATAGATCTTTAGTTATTACTAGAGGGATCCCCAGCAGGAAAAAGGAGGATTTTCTATGGGCCTGCTCACCTCGGCCAACCGGGCAAGTGACCGGTATGCCTGATGGCCAGTCCCACCTTGTGCCTTACTGGTTTGGGAACAGCATTTCTTTGCTGCCCCCTTGAAAAGTGCCGTTTAGGGCAAATGCCTTGTTTGCCTTTCAGTGGATACCCCCCTGCCATAGCCTGTATCATAAAAAATGTTAACGATGTTATGCTTAAAACTGCAGGAAAAAGATCTACCTGTAAAATAAGAATAGGGACTATACCTTCCTTGTAGTGGAAGGAAAGAGACATTGCTGAGTTGGGGTTTTAAGACACAGGCCCCTGAAAAGGTAAGCGTAGAGCCTCTCCTTTTTACCGCTATGTGTTTTTGCTGTAATGACAGGGTCACTTTAAGCTGAAATGCCAATATGCTTTCTGTTGTACCTGCCTAAGGATCTATAATTCTGTACAGCCCCATGCAGCTTCATTGGGCAACCAGGAGATATGTGTGTCACCTGCCCAGCGGTGCAATGTGGTAGACAAGACTCAGTCCAGAACTATGAATTCCTTCTGCAGGTAGAGGGAAAACATTCATGCATATAAACGATTGAGCTGCTTTGCCTGGACTTCCGCTCTAAAGAACAAACAGCAAAACATCCAGAAGTGGATGACATCCAGACAACCTCATCATCTTCTGCCTCACCCCAACTACTACATGCCTTCAGTACAGATAGGCCGCACAGAAAAGGAGACGGCATCCAAGAAAAGCTGAGATTTGGTGAGGAGGAAGGAGGAGAGACAATCGCTGGAGGCCAAACATGTCATGAAAAGACTGCTTAGCCTTGAAGCTCACCTCGATTATCTTCATCTAAATAAGAAAACAAGTTCATTCGCAAGTTAACTAAACACATGTAGGAGGGCATGACATACAATGTGGAAGGGAAGAAAACAAATGTAATAGTAATCAAAACTAGCCTAGTAGTGAGGAAGAGAGATGATGTTGGAGAGTGGATGTCTATGGTTATGTATTATTGTTGGGGAGAGGATGTCTATGGTTATGTATTATTGTTGGGGAGAGGATGTCTATGGTTATGTATTATTGTTGGGGAGAGGATGTCTATGGTTATGTATTATTGTTGGGGAGAGGATGTCTATGGTTATGTATTATTGTTGGGGAGAGGATGTCTATGGTTATGTATTATTGTTGGGGAGAGGACGTCTATGGTTATGTATTATTGTTGGAGAGAGGATGTCTATGGATATGTATTATTGTTGGAGAGAGGACATCTATGGTTATGTATTATTGCTGGGGAGAGGATGTCTATGGTTATGTATTACTGTTGGGGAGAGGATGTCTATGGTTATGTATTATTGTTGGGGAGAGGACGTCTATGGTTATGTATTATTGTTGGAGGGAGGATGTCTATGGTTATGTATTATTGTTGGGCAGAGGATGTCTATGGTTATGTATTATTGTTGGAGAGTGGATGTCTATGGTTATGTATTATTGTTGGAGAGAGGATGTCTATGGTTATGTATTATTGTTGGAGAGAGGATGTCTATGGTTATGTATTATTGTTGGAGAGAGGATGTCTATGGTTATGTATTATTGTTGGAGAGAGGATGTCTATGGTTATGTATTATTGTTGGGGACAGGACTTCTATGGTTATGTATTACTGTTGGGGAGAGGATGTCTATGGTTATGTATTATTGTCGGAGAGAGGATGTCTATGGTTATGTATTACTGTTGGAGAGAGGATGTATATGGTTATGTATTATTGTTGGGGAGAGGATGTCTATGGTTATGTATTATTGTTGGGGACATTACTGATGGTGAGAGGATGTCTATGGTTATGTATTATTGTTGGGGAGAGGATGTCTATGGTTATGTATTATTGTTGGGGAGAGGATGTCTATGGTTATGTATTATTGTTGGAGAGAGGACGTCTATGGTTATGTATTATTGTTGGAGAGTGGATGTCTATGGTTATGTATTATTGCTGGGGAGAGGATGTCTATGGTTATGTATTATTGTTGGAGAGTGGATGTCTATGGTTATGTATTATTGCTGGGGAGAGGATGTCTATGGTTATGTATTATTGCTGGGGAGAGGATGTCTATGGTTAGGAGGGAGTTTTATGGCACAGAAAACAAGTCAGATGTTGACCTCTATAGGTGTGGATCAGGGACTCTTTCCTCCATTGTTTCTGGAAGAGGCAAGATTAGGGGATTCTTCCCCCCATACTTATTGCTGTGCGGGTCCCTGCTGAGGAGAGTCATCCTCTCCATTTGTCTTGTTGACCATTGTCATGGATACATAAAGTGAAGGGAAAACCTCACCTATCTTTCACTGACGATAACTGGGCTTCGCCTGTTTTTCACTTGTGACACCCAGGCCATACTTTACATTCACTGGTGACACCAAGGCCTCATCTGCCTTTTGACCTCCAGGCTTCACCTATCTTTCATTCAGTGACACACAGGCAACATCTTTCATTCACTGGTGACACCAAGGCCTCCTCTTTATTGCAGAGGTGACGACTTGGCCTCGCCATAAGTACATCAGGTGTGCAGAGCCAGGAACTCAATTAAGGCATGGCAGGAGCCCCTCATAATGAGTGTAGCCGCTATGGGGACCCCGTAACTGAATGCTGGGATGGTGAGAACCTTTCATAATAGGCAAAGCAGGTGTATAACCCAGGAACTCAGTGCAGGGATGGCGGGAGCCTCTCATAATGGGCACAACAGGTGTTCAGAGCCGGGAACTAAGCACAGGGACCTTGCCAATGGAGTCCCAGAAATACTGAAGAAACTGTCTCCTTTAGGTGGATTGACCATTAAAGCTTCATACTGCCAAAGTGAGAAAAAAAAATTATAACACAAATAGCATAATGAAATGTAAAAAAAACTTATGAAATTTGAAAATAACGTAGATATCTACACAACGTGTGAGCACATGGGAGGCATCTGTGCTTTTTCTTTTTAATTTTACAGGGTCAAAAGGTTGAGTTTCACTTCAGCATTCTGGGACTGTTTCCACATTATAAATATCGAAATAATTTGGTTTAATTTGGTTTAGAAGGAGAAAAACATTTCTATGGAAAAGAAGAAAAAAATTCTCCCAAAGTAAAGCACACGAGCCGTTCTGAGATCCTTTAAACTCAGTGGGAGAACTTGTGTGTTTTATGGTGGTGGAAATAACGTAGAAGGGGCTGCACCTAATTACAGCCTCTAGTACAAGCCAGAAGTTGATCTTGTTACTCTCCCAGATCCCTCGTAAGCTCGAATGCATATGGCACTTTATGGCGAGCGTGTGGAAGGTTCTGGAAACAGTTTGTTCCAGGCCTCTATCAGATGGTGAATGAGCCATACACAGAGCCAGGGTCTGCTCTTTGCGTTATAATACCCATACGGACCCACCTAGAGGCTTATTTACCAGAGGCTGCCCAAAAAACAATAACCCATAATTACTGTTGTCATACAATCTGATCTTGATTTGTTTGAGGCCATCTTAAACTTAAAGGAGAATTATGAGGTGAGTGCTTTTCACTCACCTCATAGTTCTAGCCAACCTGTGACAATGAGACTGTCACAGGTCGGCTCAGTAGATCGGGAGGTGAGCGAACACATACCGGCGCTCGCTCACCTCTCGATCCTGTCACAGCTCTCTGCCGTGACAGGGGAGGGGCTGGATTCTCCCCTC